TACCTCAAACATAAATCTACTGATAAAATTGTGGACCAAAGTCGCATAAGATTAGGATAAAATAAAAGTTACTCCTGATACAAGCTTCAGTAACAGTGATATATTTCCAAGTCAGGATGGTAAGTGGTTTGGAGGGGAAATTGGAGATGGTAGTGTTCCCATGTATCTGCTGCCCTTGTCCTTCTAGATGGAAGTGGTCATGAGTTTGGAAGGTGCTGTTTGAGGATCTTTGGTGAATTTCTGCAGTGCACTTTGTAGATAGTAGACTATGCTGCTATTGAGCGTCGGTGGTGGAGGGAAAGAGTGTTTGTGGATGTAGTGGCAATCAAGAGGACTGCTTAAACTTCTTGAGTGTTGCTGAAGCTGCACTTCTCCAGGCAAGTAGGGAGTATTCCATCACACTCCTGACTTGTACCTTGTATATGATGGACAGGAGGTTGAGGAGTCAGGAGGTGAGTTACTTGCCTCAGTATTCCTAGCTTCTGAGCTGCACTTGTAGCCACTGTGTTAATGTGTTGAATCCAGTTGCATTTCTAGTCAATAGTAATCCCTAGGATGTTGGTAATGGGGGATTCAGTATTGATAACATCATTTTCTATCAAGGAGCAGTTGTTAGATTGTCTCTTATTGGAGATAGTCATAGCCTGGCATTTGTGTGGCGCAAATGTTACTTGCCACTTGTCAGCCCAAGCCTGGATATTGTGCAGATCTTGTTGCATGTGAACATGGTCTGCTTCAGTATCTGAGGAGTCACGAATGGTGCTGAACATTGTGCAATCATCAGCGAACATCCCCACTTCTGACCTTATGATGGAGGGAAGGTCATTGATGAAGCAGCTGAAGATGGGTGGGGCTAGGACACTACCGTGAGGAACTCCTGCAGAGATGTCTTGGGGCCGAGATGACTGACCTCCAACAACCATAAAACATCTTTATATCTGTTAGGTATGACTCCAGCCAGCAGAGAGATTGCCCCCTGATTCCCACAGATTCTAGTTTTGCTAGGGCTCGTGGGAGCCACACTCAGTCGAATGCAGCCTTGATGTCAAGGGCTGTCACTCTCACCTCACCTTTCTATTGAAGCGACTGTGGATGGGCCTGTAGCCCCTAATGAATGATTCCACAGGTAGGAAACTATGAGGTAGAATGGCATTCTTAAAATTTACTTACAACATGCAGCTACTTTATATTTGTAAATTGACTGCACTGAATCCAGGCAAAAAGGAAAGCACTCAGATTGCACTGGATTTATTAGTCACCATTATCGTTGATCCAATACCAACCAGAGGCTAAATATCTCTGGAGTTGTCCTCACTTGATTATTTAGTGGTGGTAAAATAGGTGGCTTTGCAACACAGCAAGTAGCGTCTGTATTTCTGGACCAGAAGGTCCAGGTTTGAATGTGTCTCCAGGGCTTGTTGGTCATGGAAGCAGTGTCCCTAAAATGGGCAGACAGGTAATAAAGGCCTGTAAACCCTCCCAACACACCCTGGTCAGTCTTCTGTGCAGCCAACTTGCAGAAGGCAATGGTAAACGATATTGCCGTCAAGGGTAGACCAATCCAATGGAAGTCCCAATCCTCAGAAATGAGGACAGGAGAAAAGACAGACAGACAGACGTGGTAATTCTATTTTTATAAGATGGGATTCTGTCTCATATTTTCTATTATTCTAACGTTGTTGTTGCTGTTTGATGGTGACATACTATTAATGTTGCACCACATTTTTATTAAATTGACCTTGTTACTGGCATTTTTGGAAATGCTCTTCACACATAATTCAATTCAATCAGCAAGCTAGTAACCCCTGGTCATGGTGCATCACCCTCTGGTAATTGGTGTGGCCAGATCAGTCTGTTCATAAATAAAACAGCAGAAAGATATTGCACAGAGAAGTGAGAGGGATTCAGGGAGAGGCAATACTGTTAGCATCAGCCAGGAAAAGAGCACGATTCAGAATGGAACATAGAAAATGAACATGATGGAGTGAGGGAAACACAGAGCTGAAGAAGAAAGGATAAAAGGAGAGTCCTTGTCATTTGCAGGTTCTATTTTGTCAAATGGAACTGAGGACTATCACTATTTGTTCCTTTGTATCCAACGCAGACATCAGCAGCTCTCAGCATTCAATTTGCACCATGCATTCCTTTTGTCCTTGAAATGATTCTAAAACTACAAAACTATGGGATGATAGATGCCATCAACATCTTACAGTTGGTAATTTTCAATCTTTTCAAATAGATTCGTCTGAGCATTTTTTCAAAGAATTTTAGCTCCTTTAAGGATAATTTGTTCTCAACTGTCACCTTATCTTGCCTTCAGAAAACATTACAGAGCAAAGGGATTTGAATTTCCATCAACGTAAAGCATTGAAAGCCAGCAAATAAGTAGAAAAAGTATTTGAAAAGAATCATGGGCTTTATCTCAATGAAACTTTACTTGTTCAGAGCCTTAATCACGTTCCATCTGGATAACTGTGTTCATTCCAAGCAGCAAACCTCAGGAAAGATATAATGGCCTTTTGAGGGGTTACAGCACAAACTCATCCAATTGACCATCCAGAAGGAGAAGGGCAGTAGATACGTGGGGGCATCATCACCTGCAGGTTCCCCTCCAAACCACTCACCATCCTGTCTTGGAAATATATCGCCGTTCCTTCAGTACCACAATGTCAATATTCTGGAGTTCCCTGTCTAATGTTACTCTGGCAAGCATCCATCCAGGAAAAAAGGAGAAGCCAGACTGTCTTCCACATAATTCACAATACCCAGCACAATATTATTTTTCCCTTTCACATACCAGCCATTCCCATGTGGAAACTTGTCCTTATGTGTACCCGAACCTGTCCCCAAATATACCAGCCACTGTAACCCACAACTAGAGTACACACGTATACACGCACTATTGATACAGCATTTACAACATTAGCACCAAACAGCGTTGTGGGTCTACTACTCCCCATGGACTGCAGTGGTTCAGGGAGGCAATTCTGCATCACTCTCTCAAGGGCAACTAGGTATGTGGCTGGCCCAGCCACAATGCCCTCATGCCATGAAAAACACAGCCAAAGCTTAAATTTGTAAAAGGCCAAATTGCATTATTCCTTTCTATTCCTTTGGCTTCTGAAGTTCGAGGACTGATCTGAAAAGGTGTTTAAGATGATGTAATTATTTGATTGAAGATGAGGAACAGGTAGGAAACTATGAAATAGAAAGGCATGCAATTCTGAAAATTTACTTACAACATACAGCTACTTTATATTTGTAAATTGACTGTACTGAATCCAGGCAAAAAGGAAGGCACTCAGATTGCCCTGGATTTATTAGTTACCATTATCTTTGATCCAATACTCTGTGGTGTGGAAATCAGAACAAGAGGACATGATTTTAAAACTAGAACCTAGCTACTTAGGAAATACTTCACAGCAGCAAGAGCAAAGGCAATGTATAACCTTTTACCTCAAGAGGAAATGGGAGAGTTTAGAACACTGTAAAATGCAGTCAGCATCACTGAGAGGAGTAGGAGAGGTTAGGATCCTGAGAGAGTTAGCATCACTGAGGAAAGCAGGTGAAGTGAGAGTAAATTTTCATAGTAAGTTTATACTTATTCTAAAGGTAACAAATAGTTTTTAGAGTTAAAGATGGCAAGTAAATGGGAACAAGTGAAATGTACTCCTTAAGGTCTGTGATGGGATTCTTCATCGTGGACATAACGAAAAGATAATTATCATAGGCATGGTGAGCCGAGGGCCTGTTTCTATGCTGTGGGAGTCTAAAAGACAGAAGATGCTGGAGGACAATTGAAAGTTTTGGGACTGAGAAACATCTATTAATAAACAGTTAGTATGGATTTCAAATGGGAAATCTTGCTTCATCAACCTTATCATTTTTCTTTTGTGGAGATAACAGAAACAATAGAGAATTGTGATGAATTAGACGGAATTTACCTGAATTTTCAATGATCAGAGCCCACAAAGAATAAATTTAAACATTTTATAGATAACCTTTTAATTGCAAGAAGCTATGCAACACTCTACAAGAAGGTTCCTGAAATGAAACAGTGGAGATTTAAACCCGCTTTGTGTCAGGTACAAACAGCAACTTCCCTAATGAAATTTGATCAACCAATCAGCCACAACGCTGAATGCTGCAATGTAATTGGCTGCTGGGCATTTATGGGACTTATTGTAGTAGATAGGCCCATAGTTTATCAGACAGTAAGGACTGGGAAACATAACTCTACTCAAGCCTACATTCCATTTCAAAGACTTGATGGGCCAAATGGCCTCCTTCTTTGCTGTTCCATTCAATGGCTTATTACAGCCACCTTAATTCCATGAATATCAGGAGTTGGATTCCACAGCAAGAAGCTCATGAGAACCCTTCTGTTCAACAGATATTGTTACGAAAAATCTTTCTGTTCGATATTCGGTTAGTTATAGGTCCATTCTGGGTTTCGAATGAAGAGTAGAGGCAGAGAAAGTTTTCTAACTTTGGAAAGGATTCAGAAATCCAAAATACAATGGGACTTGGGAGTCATCATTGACAACTGTCTGAAGGTTAACATGCAGGTTCAGTTGACAGTGAGGGAGGCAAATACAGTGTTAGCATTTATTTTGAGAGGGCTAGAATACAAGAGCAGAGATGTACATTTGAGGCTCACACTGTGGTAATTGGGTGGGGATGGGGAATGGTGCTATGATCGAGGTGACCATTGCTAGAAAATTCCTTGGTGTTGTTCCTGTTCCTGAGCATAAATTGCCTGGAAGTGAGAAGCTAATTTACAAATCCATGTGGAATTCCACTATATTTCCAGCAAAGCAACACAAGATGGAATGGCACCAGTTCCAGAATGTTCCTTGCATGCCTTGTGCTCATTTCGCCTGTTTGTTATTCACAGCAAGTCTTCACTCCTTTCCTTTTTGGCTGCGACTTTACTGTGAGCAATTGGACGCAGGAGGAAAGTCTCCTTGGTACCTCTAAAACTGGACATTGAGCAACCTTCACTGAACTGCATCTGGGGCAGGCAAAGAGTTCGGGGAGAGCCGACCCGTGAAACGCATTTGTTGTGTTGAGTCACTGGAGAGTTTGATGACAGGCTCCCTTCTGCCACGCTGTTGTTAAACCGGAACCGTTGATGGGGAGGGCGGATGGTCATCAGAAACTGGCGTTTGAAGGTCTCACTCAGGGCAATGTACAGAAAAGGGTTGATGCAGCTGTTGGCATAGCCCAGGCTAATGGCAAAGTTGTACATGTAGAAGAAGGCAAGCCTTGGCTTTTCAATGCTCAGATGGACCAGTTGAAAGATGTAGTAGGGTCCCCAACACACAAAGAAGGTTGAGCAGATGGCCACTGCCATGCGGGTGACCTTCCTAGTTCGCATTCGGAGGCTTCTTTGGGGTAGTGGAGCCACACGCGTGGACATGTGCTGAAGAATCTTGAAGTAAATAACACAGATAACAACCAGAGGGATGGCAAATGCCACCATGAACTGGTAAAGGGTAAACCAATAGATATCGGTGGTTGGATTGGGCAGAAGTAAGGCGCAACCAACTGTGCCATCTGGCAGTGGCATTAATCCTGTGTACAGCCACACTGGGATGACGGTCAAGAAGGACATTAACCAAACCAAACAGATCACCAAGGTGGCAACAGATGGTGTGCGCATTGAGGTGGATTTCAGTGGGTGAACTGTGGCCAAGTAACGATCAAAACTCATCACGGTCAAAATGTAGGTGCTGGTGATTTGGCTATGGCTGTCCAGGGTTGTTATGATGGTGCACATAGCAGCTCCAAAATGCCAGGTCCCATTACCAACTAGTTGATGAATGAGGAAGGGCATCCCTAGAAGGAACAACAGATCCACTAACGACAGGTTGAAGATAAAGATGTCGGGTACCGTGTGCCTGCATCTGAACTTGGTCTTCCTGACAATGGTGTAGATTACGATGCAATTTCCTGTGATGCCCAAACAGCTGATGACACCAAACACACTTGGCATGATGACATTGGTGTATGGTGCAAACTGGTCAGAACCTGAAAAACAGAGAAATACAGGCATTTCCCTTTACAGTAGCTTTAAGATGCCCATTTCTTAGTCACATCCAGCCTACTGTTCTGAAGCTAAGCTCATGTGTACACAATGCCTCCCCAGGGAATTGGCTACAGGTATGGCATCAGATAATTGCTGCATTAAATTGATACTTTATTCATTTGATGATCTAAAGGCACAATTTTTCTCCTGTCCCTTGAGATTCAGTAAATGTGCTGCAGTGTGTAAGAGTCACTGTTTATGGGCAGTTTGCTACGGAGATGCTACTTATTCAGTGCTCCACAGGGAGAAGTGTGGCATCACTGTTTGTAGGCGAAGGTTGGCATCAGCACCCACACCCTGCTTCTGTCTGCCTGCACTGAAAGGGCCATAAACTGTATAACATACCTGATGCGAAAGCAGGGTCTATGAGGAATCTTACACAGTCTCACAAGCTCATCACCAAAAAGTATTATTTTCAGAATGAACCCACAGGACTCTGCACACAAGATTGTGAAATTTTTGAGCTAATCTTGTACTTAATAATTGGCAAATATTATGGTCTAGACCAAACCTTCTCAAAATCTATTAAGATAGTCTAGAGTCTAAATTTTTCTTACTTTAAAGGTAAGTGTTAGATGTTGTGTTCTGGATGCAATTTGATTGATCAAGCTACCAGGCTTGAAACAAAACATAGAACATAGAACATAGAACATAGAACATAGAACATAGAACATAGAACATTACAGCGCAGTACAGGCCCTTCGGCCCTCCATGTTGCGCCGACCTGTGAAACCAATCTGAAGCCCATCTAACCTAAACTATTCCATTATCATCCATATGTTTATCCAATGACCATTTAAATGCCCTTAAAGTTGGCGAGTCCACTACTTTTGCAGGCAGGGCATTCCACGCCCTTACTACTCTCTGAGTAAAGAACCTACCTCTGACATCTGTCCTATATTTATCACCCCTCAATTTAAAGCTATGTCCCCTCATGCTAGCCACCACCATCCGAGGAAAAAGTCTCCCATTGTCCACCCTATCTAATCCTCTGATCATCTTGTATGTCTCTATTAAGTCACCTCTTAACCTTCTTCTCTCTAACGAAAACAGCCTCAAGTCCCTCAGCCTTTTCTCATAAGACCTTCCCTCCATACCAGGCAACATCCTGGTAAATCTCCTCTGCACCCTTTCCAATGCTTCCACATCCTTCCTATAATGCGGTGACCAGAACTGTACGCAATACTCCAAGTGCAGCCGCACCAGAGTTTTGTACAGCTGCAACATGACCTCATGGCTCCGAAACTCAATCCCTCTACCAATAAAACCTAACATACCGTATGCCTTCTTAACAACCCTATCAACCTGGGTGGCAACTTTCAGGGATCTATGCACATGGACACCGAGATCTCTCTGCTCATCCACACTACCAAGAATCTTACCATTAGCCCAGTACTCTGTATTCCTGTTACTCCTTCCAAAGTGAATCACCTCACACTTTTCCGCATTAAACTCCATTTGCCACCTCTCAGCCCAGCTCTGCAGCTTATCTATGTCCCTCTGTAACCTGCAACATCCTTCTGCACTATCCACAACTCCACCAACTTTGGTGTCATCCGCAAATTTACTAACCCATCCTTCTACGCCCTCATCCAGGTCATTTATAAAAATGACAAACAGCAGTGGCCCCAAAACAGATCCTTGAGGTACACCACTAGTAACTGAACTCCAGGATGAACATTTCCCATCAACCACCACCCTCTGTCTTCTTACAGCTAGCCAATTTCTGATCCAAACCACTAAATCACCCTCAATCCCATGCCTCCGTATTTTCTGCAACAGCCTACCATGGGGAACCTTATCAAACGCTTTACTGAAATCCATATACACCACATCAACCGCTTCACCCTCATCCACCTGTTTGGTCACCTTCTCAAAGAACTCAATAAGGTTTGTGAGGCACGACCTACCCTTCACAAAACCGTGTTGACTATCCCTAATCAAATTATTCCTTTCTAGATGATTATAAATCCTATCTCTTATAATCCTTTCCAACACTTTACCCACAACCGAAGTAAGGCTCACTGGTCTATAATTACCAGGGTTGTCTCTACTCCCCTTCTTGAACAAGGGGATAACATTTGCTAGTCTCCAGTCTTCTGGCACTATTCCTGTAGACAATGACGACATAAAGATCAAAGCCAAAGGCTCTGCAATCTCCTCTCTAGCTTCCCAGAGAATCCTAGGATAGATCCCATCCAGCCCAGGGGACTTATCTATTTTCACACCTTCCAGAATTGCTAACACCTCCTCCTTATGAACCTCAATCCCGTCTAGTCTAATAGCCTGTATCTCAGTATTCTCCTCGACAACATTGTCTTTTTCCTGTGTGAATACTGACAAAAAATATGCATTTAGCGCCTCTCCTATCTCTTCAGACTCCATGCACAACTTTCCACTACTGTCCTTGAGTGGCCCTAATGTTACTCTAGTCATTCTTTTATTCCTGACATACCTATAGAAAGCTTTAGGGTTTTCCTTGATCCTACCTGCTAAAGACTTCTCATGTCCCCTCCTGGCTCTTCTTAGCTCTCTCTTTAGGTCCTTCCTGGCTAACTTGTAACTCTCAAGCGCCCTAACTGAGCCTTCACGCCTCATCTCTACATGACCCTCCTTCTTCCTCTTGACAAGAGATTCAACTTCTTTAGTAAACCATGGTTCCCTCGCTCGACCACTTCCTCCCTGCCTGACAGGTACATACTTATCAAGGACATGCAGTAGCTGTTCCTTGAACAAGCTCCACATTTCAATTGTGCCCAGCCCCTGCAGTTTCCTTCTCCATCCTATGCATCCTAAATCTTGCCTAATCGCCTCATAATTGCCTTTCCCCCAGCTATAACTCTTGCCCTGCGGTATATACCTAACCCTTTCCATCGCTAAAGTAAACGTAACCGAATTGTGGTCACTATCACCAAAGTGCTCACCTACCTCCAAATCTAACACCTGGCCTGGTTCATTACCCAGTACCAAATCCAATGTGGCCTCGCCTCTTGTTGGCCTATCTACATACTGTGTCAGGAAACCCTCCTGCACACATTGGACAAAAACTGACCCATCTAAAGTACTCAAATTATAGCATTTCCAGTCAATATTTGGAAAGTTAAAGTCCCCCATAACAACTACCCTGTTACTTTCGCTCCTATCCAGAATCATTTTTGCAACCTTTTCCTCTACATCTCTGGAACTTTTCGGAGGCCTATAGAAAACTCCAAACAGGGTGACCTCTCCTTTCCTGTTTCTAACCTCAGCCCATACTACCTCAGTAGATGAGTTCTCATCAAACGTCCTTTCTGCCACCGTAATACTGTCCTTGACTAACAATGCCACACCTCCTCCTCTTTTACCACCTTCCCTGATCTTACTGAAACATCTAAACCCCGGAACCTGCAACAACCATTCCTGTCCCTGCTCTATCCATGTCTCCGAAATGGCCACAACATCGAAGTCCCAGGTACCAACCCATGCTGCACGTTCACCCACCTTATTCCGGATGCTCCTGGCATTGAAGTAGACACACTCCAAACCACCTTCCTGCCTGCCGGTACACTCCTGCGACCTTGAAACCTTATTCATGACCTCACTACGCTCAACCTCCTGTACACTGGAGCTACAATTCAGGTTCCCATCCCCCTGCTGAATTAGTTTAAACCCTCCCGAAGAGCATTAGCAAATTTCCCCCCCAGGATATTGGTACCCTTCTGTTTCAGGTGTAGACCATCCCGTTTGTAGAGGTCCCACCTACCCCAGAATGAGCCCCAATTATCCAGGTATCTGAATCCCTCCCTCCTGCACCATCCCTGTAGCCACGTGTTCAACTGCTCTCTCTCCCTATTCCTCGCCTCGCTAGCACGTGGCACGGGTAACAAACCAGAGATAACAACTCTGTTTGTTCTAGCTCTAAGGTTCCACCCTAGCTCCTTGAATTTCTGCCTTACATCCCCATCCCTTTTCCTACCTATGTCGTTGGTGCCTGTGTGGACCACGACTTGGGGCTGCTCACCCTCCCCCTTAAGGATCCCGAAAACACGATCCGAGACATACGTTGTTCATAGCCTATAATTAAAATACAGACAAAATTAAAATAAAAGAATTGGATTAACTGTAACTCTGTCAAAATGCTTAACAAAATAATATACATATTAACTACCATTAATTAATTGTTCCAGTATAGTAACATCCCATAAACACACACTGGACAAAGGCAAAACAGATTGTCTCACATGCAATTCTTGCAGCAGGAAGAGAAGCCCAGCTTTTAGCTGTAACACAGAGAGGGATTAGAATTGCCATGTCTTGCTTCAAAACCCCAGCAACCGCTAAAATCTAAAACTAATAAAAAAACCTGGTTCTGTTGGAGCTTGACCCCACCCATTCAGGCTGCTTCTATTGTGCCTACTTTAAATAAAAACCCAAGGCCTCACAAGCTTTTCACTTTATTGGCTTTGAGCAGACCACTCAGTACCTCTGTCTCAACCTTTCTTCATAAAAAAAAGGACCAAATACACCTCTTAAAGCCACAGCATCGCCACAAAATTATGAGCTATAATCTATAGTGTATCGGAGTCTTTCATCCTGCAAATGACAAGGCTAACTGTGTCTTTCCATCCTAGGGAGATGCACCATCCAATTTACTAAGCTCTTTATTCCTCCTGTGGGGGATAGCTTTTCAGGGAAAAGCGCTGCAGGAGCCAGATCTTTGGCACCATCTCCGTCTCGGCTGTAAAGCAGGGTACGGCAAAGTTCAAAGTCCAATTGAGCTGTCTAGGCAATGGTACAGACAGGCAATTCAGTGGCCATGAGCAAGACTTTGGGAATGTGTATTGATGGTTGATCCTAGTCCTGAGGTTGTTTTAAAATTTGGTAGAACCGCATCCAGCAGGTAATGAGATGCTTTTTGAGCAAAATGAGAAGACTTCACTCATTCCTGGAATCTTATTAGGAA